CCCCCCCCCCCCCCCACCCCCCGCCCGGCCCTTTGTTTTTCTGAGAATCACACACTTCAATCATGAAATGTGATTACAGGCTTTTGTTTTTCCTTTTGAACCAATAATCTATTCATACCCACCACACTCGAGCTAAGAATGAGGAGGGTTCAGCCAGCGAAGAGAAAAAAAAACCTTCACTGCCCTAAAAAGGGAGAATTGCAGAGGAGCGAGAGATTCCTGCGCAACCTGTAAAACCACTACGTGTGTGTGTGTTAAAAACAAGGAGCTGGACAATGGGAAAAATCGGAGGCAAATAGCAGAAGGGTGGGCAAATGCCGCGGTTGTTAATGGTTGGGCGGATGCGGCCTTCGAGGGACGCTCACATGGGAGAATGGGACCAAAAAACATATATAATTCGCTCAGCTCTTCCATTTATTGCATAGATACTACTGAAGCCCGCGCTTCTTTCAGCTTAATTTTAGGCTGCCTATCTTATGGCCCAATCCACTTTACACATTACTATAATTCTAAAGTTTAATATGCTCAATTTATAAATTTTTATTTCAAAATGTTTGAATTAAGAACTTTTTACGCATTTAATTTGGAGTTTCGATCCAATTTTCATAATACGATTATATGTCCCACATTGGTTTGGAGGAAGGACGGTGTGCCAGCGAGGACATTGGGCCCCAAAGGGGGTGGATTGTGAAAGAAAGCCCAAATAGAACAATATCTGCTAGCGGTGGGCCTGGGTCGTTACATGGTCAGCATCACTAGTGCTTACCATCAATAACAACGGCCACCACCCACTTTCGACCATTGCCCATCTCTAATGTCCACTTTAGCAACCACGACCACTAGTGACTACTAGTTACCATCCCATCTCCGACAACTGTTGCCATCTCTAGCGACCATCGACACGCACCAGCCTCTTGATATCATAATATTTTAATTATTTGGAAAAATATGATCAAATATATAAATATTTTCACTTTAAAACATTTTAATAAAAATACTTAAAAAGAAAAATGCATTTAAAAAAAAGGAATTCCGTTGGGAACTATTGTTGAGGATGGAAACAAAAGGAGTAGACTCAAAAGTCTGACAGGGAAATATCAACGGCAGTGGCATAAATGTAATTTAATAGTTGGACCATGGACATCCATGTAATACCACAAACGCAAATCGATGACGGCCGTGCCTCAGTCAGCGTTCTTGATTCTGTAGTCTCGTCTCCAAACAACCCCCTCATTCACCTGCGGTTCGGCGGGAGAATGGAATTCGCCGACGAGCATACCGCCGGAGCCACCACCTCCAACTCCGACCGCCATAAGCCCTCCGACACCAGATACGGCGTTGACCTCTCATCCTCTGATAACGATACCGAAGATGTATCTTCTTCCTTATACTCTTCTCTTGTTTCGCTTTCCATTTGTAAATTTCATAGCATCTCATTTTGTCTTCTCTGTTTCCAATCCTCTTAAACGCAAACGATATAGCTCCGCTTTCTTTCTAGCTCTTGTTTTACGGAAACGGAGGCTTTCTGAGCTAGATACGTTGCTCCAGTGGAGCTCCATACGTGTGTTTATCTGGATTCATGTTTGATTTTCTTTTTCCTCGGAGTGAAAACTAGCGAGAAGCTGTGATACTTAGAAGCTAACCGATTTCCATTTGCGTATGTCTTTGCAGTAGATTTATGATGCTCTACAGCGGTAGGGTTTAAAATACTTGAGTTGAGTGTATGCGTGTCTTTTTCTACTGATATACGTTCTAGTTATGTTCACTTAATTATAATTCAAAATTGTGGGCGTTTGTGAATAATTGTTATTTCTGGAAATCGGGATCGGAATGTTGTTCTTCTTCGTTTTGAGAATTGCATTTGCCTTTACATTAGGTTTTTCTGCAGTAATCGTGCCCTCATATTTTCAGTGTAGTAGGACTTACGAGTAATTTTTTCCCCAGGCACATCCTGTTTTCTCTAACGTGCCTGCTTCACTTGCACCACCAGTTTCTCCGATCCTTCCTCTGCAAAGTAAATGTAATGTAGTAATTCAGGCTGGTAGGTATTTCTGGTCTTTAGTGAGTAGCATTTAGCTCTTGTTCTTTTCTTTGTGCATAACTTCATAGTAATTGAACTATTTGAAACTTGAACTGATCATAATCTTCTTAGCACCAAAATTTATGTAACGTGCTATTTTTGTTATGCTACTATCCTGCACACTTGCATTGTAATTATTTCGACTGTAGATGCCTGCATATTTGTGGTCAGTATTCTAAATTCAAGTGTGCATGGCTTGTAAAGTACACTTCAGTCAGCTAAATTGGCAGTGTGTATGTTTATCAATTTACCCTCGGGAGGACGGATCCTGCAACTCCCACTCTCTTTGAGATTGCTTTAGGAAATGGACACCATTGATCTGCTATTTTATAGCTGTAATACTTAATATGATTGCTGCATTGTAGGTTAGAATGTTTGGGATGCTCATATTCTACACTCTAATTCCCACTTTAAGTCTGTATGTCATGAATTAGCATGTATGTTGGATTACTTGAAAAAATTCATTCTATAGGCTGTATAATTTTTTTTCCTCGTGTTCTGGAAGGGCTGTTGATGGGGAGAATGCTTTCCTTGATTAATTATAGATTATTGGTCAAGAAATTATCTGGTACTTACTAACCCTTCTCCAATAGGCCTGTTAATGCTCTCACCTTGTAGAAGCACCTTCTTAGTCTCTATGCCACCAACCAAAACCGTTTTACTATCAGAATTGAAGTATTTGAAGAGATTTTCAATATTCTTCAACCAGTTGATCATGCCTTCCATGTTTATTCTGCCATTGAAAACCATTAAATGTAGGTTCATCCAAAACGTTGTAGTTCATTATGGTAAGCAGGTTGATATCTCTTGATAACCCATGCTGATAGCTGATAGGTTGATGTCCGAAGTATTCCCCATTCTTTCATGGAAAATTAATTTTCTGCTGTAAAGGGAGTTCAATTACCCTATGCTTCGTAATTCCTTGCTTGTTTCATCGTTTATAGTCAGCAGCTGGTGGATTTATCTTCCTCCCAGCCGTATAAGTGGCTCCCATACCTCTTCTATGCTCTCAAAAGTAGAGAGAAACCTGACTATATTGTTAGTGCTTTGGAACTGAATTATACCAAGAGGGAATTAACTATCACAAACCTGGCATTCCTGCATCAGGTGCTTCTAGAGAAGCCAATGTGAATCTGGTTAATAGGCATCTCTGCTGTTAACCATCATAAACTGACAACTTCATTACTCACTAAATCAAGTAAGGTCGCCATTCTAGTTTAACAAGTTATGTCAAATAGATCGTCTTTTGAGTCACTCATTTGTAACATCAATCACCAAGATTCGTGCAACAAATTCCCTAGGTTGAGTACCCTCAGTTGAGAGCTGGGACTTAGAATCAGAAACTTCAAAGCCCTTAATGAAAATCTATTGAGTCAAGGGGATGGAATAAAAATGATCGAGGAATGAATTAGACCATTGCCAACTCCAGAATTTATGGGGCAGATAGCTATTTGGGAAAGCCAACTAAGTAGCGTGTTAATCTTTTTACTTGAGTTTCTTGGTACAAATTTTATTTTCTTATTTCTTCTAATAAAACTAAGCTGTTTCTCTTATAAAAACTTGAAGTGCATTGTATTTAAATTTAAAAACTAAAAAAATATTGTGACAGGAAACTCTGTTTCAAACTTTGAAGTGTTTGAATATTTTTGGTGACCGTGTAAAACTCGTCTCCTTTTCTCTTTTTACAAGATTCTCCAATTCAGAAGTGTGCTAAGTGGCATACCATGCATGATATCACAAAGCTTTATATATCACAACAAATTATACTCTTGCATAGTCTTTTAGTGGCTTTCTATAACATAGTGTCACATAAAAATGCCCTAATTCATTGTAGATATGGATGATAAATTGGAGACCATACAAAATATATGTCAGAAAATTGTGGACACCACGAACTTATACTCATTTTCTAAATTGGATGATCATCAAGTATATTCCCTTATGAGGCTGAGGGAAATTTCTCATCGGGTTATTAATGACCGAGATTCAAGGGTAAGTGAAGATGCTCAGGTGGAATAATAACTATTTTCCTTTTAGGACAAGGCAATGGGATGTGAAATTAAAAGCATGTTTAATGTGTTGCAGGTGACAAAAAATGATGTGATTAGTGCTATGTGCTTTTACATCAACAGGATGGTAAGTTTTGCATGGTCAATTGCCTTAATGTAGATCTTTGTTCAACATTCATGGATTGACAAAGTATTATGCAGGCAGGTAAGTGCAAGGATATTGTTGACATTTTGAATAGGATATCATATAAAGACCTAGACAGCCAGCAAGTGCAACAGCTATTGAGATTGAAAGAGCTTCTATGTGGGATTGTTGATGGAGCTAAAGATGTGGAGATTGAACCTTCCCATATTGTTGAACAGGTAGGGTTATAAGAAGCAAAATTTTCTTATATTCATTCAAAATAAATTCTATATTTGAATACAAAATGCAAATTACATTAATAGGGAATTGCAAATGATATGTGGACAACAGAGAGTCTAGAGGTCGAGCCAATTGACTCCAGCAATGATGATGTACTTCTTGGAGACGCACAAATTATAATGGTTGAAGTTGAACAGGCAGTGGCTGAGTCTAGGCTCGAGAATGAATATTGTGACCTGTCACATGTTAAGCACACTGTTAGTTGGCCACCACATGGTTGCTTAACCTTAGAGTGGGTTGTAGAGATGATGAAAACACTGGAACAGTCTTCACGAAATTACTCGCCTGCAGAGTTTCAACTTGTCATGCCAGTTTCTGTGGTAGATGAAATACTAGATATGGCTGCAAGCATCCTTCACAAGGAACCAAACTGTGTGGAAATTGACTGCCACGGAGAAGTTTCAAAAGTTGTTATAGTTGGGGACATTCATGGTCATTATCACGACTTACTTCACCTCTTTGAACTTGCTAACTTACCATCTAAGAGCCAATATTATGTTTTTAACGGCAATTATGTGGACAGAGGAGCATGGGGACTGGAGGTGCTTTTGGTCTTATTGGTGTGGAAGGTAAATTGAAATTGTTTTACTTGTTATTAATTGTATAGAAGGCTAGGAGCAAACAATCATGCATGACATTAAAAAAATTTGAATGAACCTATTTGTGAAAAAATATTCATGAAGAAAATTTAAAGTTAGAAGTATAACTTATAACCACTAATGTATATTGCCCTTATGTAGAGCATACACAATTTTGAATCTAGCTCTTTGTTCACTGCATTTTCTTTTATTGTCTTCACAAAACTGCACCCTTGAATGTGTTTCTGAAAAAAAAAAATGGTGCGCTGTGAACAGGAATTGGATTGTTAGGATTTAGAGAAGGTAGTCTTGATCACTTTTTTTTTTTTTTTTTTTTTCTGGAAAATGCACATCTATTTAACACCTAAGGGCCTCCTTTATTGATGAGGCTCACAAAACAGATATTGATGCCTTTGGTTTCTTGTTTTAAAAAAACAGATCTTAATGCCTGATAGAGTATGTCTACTCCGTGGAAATCATGAAACCAGAATCTGTACATCATCCTACGGTTTTGAGAAAGAAGTAAGGACAAAATATGGCGAGCAAGGTGAAAATGTATATCACAGGTGCTTGGAAACATTTAAGGAACTTCCTTTGGCTGCAATTATTGCTGGAAAAGCATATACAACCCATGGAGGTTTATTTCGTAAGCCATGCAATCCTGATGTGCAGAATTACGAGGAAAGGAAGACACGCGAGCTGGAGATTGGATCCTTAGAAGACTTATCCAAGCTCGAAAGGTTTTTTGTTGATGTTCCAACTAAAGATGAAGATCCAAATATAATTTTGGCAGATGTATTATGGTCGGATCCTTCTAAAGTCGATGGTTTAAGGAAAAACCAAGCCAGAGGAGCAGGTTTATTGTGGGGTCCTGATGTGACTGAAGCATTCTTAAAGCTGTCTAATTTAAAGGTTATACTCAAACCTGTGGATTAATGAACATGTTTGTTTATGAAAAACTTGTGGCATGCCATTATTGTTTACATCTTGGTTCAAAAAATCTTTGTTCCTCTTGAGTTGTGCTTGAAACCAACTTTAGGAGTTATAGTTTCGAGCTACATGTTTATTGATTTATTTTATTTTCTTGTAAATGTTGTAGTTGATCATTAGATCACATGAAGGTCCAGATTCAAGGGACGGCAAAATTGATTTTGATGATATGATAATGGGTTATAGCTCAGATCATGACAGAGGATCAGGGAAATTATATACTCTATTTAGCGCTCCGGGTTTCCCACAGGTATCCACTCTCTGCTCTCTTGTTTTCAGTTGTCTTGTCATTAAATAATATTTTATAGAACTGAACAAGGAAAACATATAAGGTAGTTGGTAATGTAAGACTATGCCTAGATGTCTGATATGTGAATTTTATGTTGAATACGTTCTTAAAAATCAAGAATTGAGGAAAACTTTGTTAATCTGCCTGTCGATGTATTCTTTATCATATTTCAATCAAGTCTCTGTTAGCTCTTCAAGGTATGCATTGAATGAACTGTACTCCAAATAGCCGGGCTGTTTCTCAGGAACCTCACAAGCATCCAAAATTTTATCTGTTTTAAAATAACGTAAAATACATGATATTGTCTTTCCTTCTCATTTTTTTTATACTATAAATAATTCTGAAAGATGATTGTATTTTTATGCAAAATGCATTATGATTTGAATGTATAATATCCCATTTACATTTGGTGGAAAATAAAATTAAAGTAGAATTTTGTTGAAGGTTTATGGATTTTTTCTGGATGAATATATTGATTACTTTAGATCAAAATTAATATAATTTATTGATAAAATATCAATTAAATCTTTTGGTTAAAATATCATTTCGGTCCCCATATTTTGATTTCATTTCATTTTAATATATATACTTCCCATAAAGCTTAAAATCAGTCCCTATTTTTAGTTTTGTTAATTTTTGTAAAATATATTTAGTCTCTATTATCCTTCATTCTATAAATTTTGAAAATACACATGAAAATTATTACTATTATTTAACCAATTTTGACTAAATAATTGACTTCAAACTAACACTAGGGACCAATTTTAAGCTGTATTAAAAGTACATAAAGAAAATACCATAACTTGAATGGAATTTAAGTCCAAAGTACGGGATCAAAATGGTATCTTAACTAAAAACTTTTTAATATATAAAATGAATCATGCATCTGATATAATTTAATATAACAAAGATATTTCTGGAATCAATGTGTAACTATAAATTTGTGATATGAATGTAGCGAAAAAGCCCAATGGCCTCCCTCCTCTACTGGTTGTACCTTTGTATTCTTGAGTTCTAAAAAATATATCAAAATGCCCAAAAATCACTATACGGTTATCAACCTATCTAAGAAGTACGTATTTCCTCTCTATGTGCATAATGTCTTCACAATATCTTCTTATAGAAATGAATGTAGTAGTCATCCAAGGTGTCCTATATCTTGATTCTTTTGCCTGTGGTTGTTGAACATTTTAAAATTGCAACAAATAAGTGGCCCCTAAGGTTTGTGGCTAATAGTTGGGTGGCAATGTTGGAACAACTATAGATCCATCTTTCGCTCCTTATGCACTGAATTCATAGACAATTCATTCTCATCGTATGAAGTTTTTTTCCTTGGAAAAATTGTATGTTCCTCATCAAAAAAAAAAAAAAAAAAAAAAAAAAAAAAAAAAAAAAAAAAAAAAAAAAAAAA